TAATTTCACCTAGGCAAGGTAATTAAAGGGGAGGGGCCTACACTAATTTCACCACTTCACTTTTTTCACAGCTTTCAGGGTCTCAAGGGGAGGGAAGGGGCAATTTCAGGACTTCACTAATTTCACCTAGGTGAGCCTTCACTACTTTCACCACTTACGTAAATTCACATTTTTCATCATCGTCCAAGCCAAGGAGGGGCAATTTCAGGCCTTCACTACTTTCACCACTTTCACCACTTCACTCTGTTCACTTCTTTCACTATCGTACAAGCGGAGAGAAAGGAGGGGCGAAGGACAATTTCAGGCCTTCGCTACTTTCACCACTTCAACCTCTTCACTTCTTTCACTATCGTGCAAGCAAAGACAAAGGAGGGGCGAGGGGCAATTTCAGGCCTTCACTACTTTCACCACTTCACTACCTTCACATATTTCACCATCGTCAGGCCTTCACTACTTTCAGCAATTCACTACCTTCACATTTTTTATCATCGTCCAAGGCAAGGGAAATGAGGGGCAGTTTCAGGCCTTCACTACTTTCACCACTTCAGTACGTTCACATTTTTCATCATCGTCCAAGCCAAGGGAAAGGAGGGCCAGTTTCAGGCCTTCACTAGTTTCACCACTTCAGCCTGTTCACTTCTTTCACTATCCTGGAAGCAAAGAGAAAGGAGAGACGAGGGGCAATTTCATGCCTTCACTACTTTCACCACTTCAGTACCTTCACATATTTCACCATCGTCCAAGTCAATGGAAAGGAGGGGCAATTTCAGACCTTCACTACTTCCACCACTTCAGCCTGTTCACATTTTTCATTGTCGTCCAAGCCAAGGGAAAGGAGGGGCAGTTTCATACCTTCACCACTTTCACCACTTCACCCTGTTCACAATTTTCATCGTCGCCCAAGCCAAAGGGAAAGGAGGGGTAGTTTCAAGCCTTCACCACTTTCACCACTTCAACCTGTTCATATTTTTCATCGTCGTCCAAGCCAAGAGAAAGGAGGGGCAGTTTCTGACCTTCACCACTTTCACCACTTCAGCCTGTTCACATTTTTCATCGTCGTCCAAGCCAAAGGAAAGGAGGGACAGTTTGAGGCCTTCACCACTTTCACCACTTCAATACGAAGAGGTGAAAGTAGTGAAGGTCTGAAAGTGCCCCTTTTTCCCCTTGGCTTGGACGGCGATGACAATTGTAAACAGGCTGAAGTGGTGAAAGTAGTGAAGGCCTAAAACTGCCCCTCCTTCCCCTTGGTTTGGAGGGCGATGAAAATTGTGAACAGGTTGAAGTGGTGAAAGTAGTGAAGGCCTGAAACTGCCCCTCCTTCCCCTTGGCTTGGACGGCGATGAAAAAAATGAACAGGGTGAAGTGATGAAAGTAGTGAAGGCATGAAACCACCCCTCCTTCCCCTTGGCTTCGACGACGATGAAAGAAGTTAACAGGATGAAGTGGCGAAAGTAGTGAAGGTCTGAAACTGCCCCTCCTTCCCCTTGGCTTGGACCACGAGGAAAGAAGTGAACGGGCTGAAGTGGTTAAAGTAGTGAAGGCCTGAAACTGCCCCTCCTTTCCCTTGGCTTGGACGGTGATGAACAAAGTGAACAGGTTGAAGTGGTGAAAGTAGTGAAGGCGTGAAACTGCCCCTCCTTCCCCTTGGCTTGGACGTCGATGAAAATTGTGAACAGGCTGAAGTGGTGAAAGTAGTGAAGGCCTAAAACTGCCCCTCCTTCCCCTTGGCTTGGATGACGATGAAAGAAGTGAACAGGGTGAAGTGGTGAAAGTAGTGAAGGCCTGAAACTGCCCCTCCTTCCTCTTGGCTTGGACGACGATGAAAGAAGTGAACAGGGTGAAGTGGTGAAAGTAGTAAAGATCTGAAACTGCCCCTCCTTCCCCTTGGCTTGGACGTCGATGAAAGAAGTAAACAGGGTGAAGTGGTGAAAGTAGCGAAGGCCTGAAACTGCCCCTCCTTGCCCTTGGCTTGGACGACGATGAAAATTGTGAACAGGCTGAAGTGGTGAAAGTAGTGAAGG